TTCATCAAAAGGGACTACAGTGATTAGTTGAAGTTTGTGCAGCAGTTTTAATTCAGCAGATACAAGAGCCTAAAAAAGGGAGAGCATCTCTGCTTTATCAGTGCTCTTTATCTCCTGTGTTTTTCTCCCCATCATTAAGAACACATCTCAGTGGCTTTGGGAGACTCTTCCCAAAGGGGGCTTTGAGGCAGTTGACAGTGTCTCTTTAAATAAGGTGGAGGTTTCTAACAGAGCTGTAATTGCAGTAAGGGGGGCGCTGGCGCAGAACAGTCGCACCCGGCACCCGCTGTCCTTTCCCGTCCTTCAGCGCTTTGTTAGGGATGTGAAAACTCCGCAGGGCCCCGAGGCTGCCTCCTCTGCAGGGACCCAGTCAGTCGGAAAGGGAACATAGAGGGTATTTATAACACGGGCAGAGGATGCGCAGGGAAGGCCCTGATGGCTTTGTTTTCCTCTCTGTTAATGCAGGACAACTGAGCCAGTAAATCACAGCACCTGGGAATTTGCTACTTGGGTGTGGAGGGATGGGGAGCAGCAAAGGAGAGTGATTAACCTCTGGAGTTAAAACTCAGAGCAGGTTAATCCCTCGAAGTGTCCAAGGCCAGGTTGGACAAGGCTTGGGGCAACCTGGGCTGGTGGAAGGTGTCCCTGCCGATGGCAGGGGGTGGAATGAGATGGGCTTTAGGATCCCTTCCAAACTTACCATTCTGGGATTCTGTGACTCCTCTGGTCCCACAGCCCCAGTACACCAGTTGGAAATGTGGGAGTTCTCAGCTCCTTGAGCAACAAGGTGAGGTTCCCTTGGTGCACAGCACGGTCCTCAGACAGGGAAAGCACCACAGCTGCTGCCTTTGCAAGGAGTAATGCTGTTCTTCCTTGGACTGAATTTTCCCTTTTACTGCAAAACTCCAAAGCACCCACAAAACTTCCCTCAAGCAGACACAGGGGTGCTCCTGAGGGATTTTGTTGGAGCGTGGTGCTGGAAGCACAGTGTTGGCAGGTGCTGAGGGCACCCAGCACCGTCCCTTGTTGCCCCACAGACCCTCCAGCCCCTGGTGAGAGCTGGGGGCCACAGAGGGATAACCTTGGAGACCTGGAGTCTGTGAGGAAGCAGGGTCTCAGAAGAATCATAGAATCATGGAATGGTCGGGTTGGAAGGGAATTTAAAGCCCATCTCATTCCACCCCTGCCATGGGCAGGGACACCTTCCACCAGCCCAGGTTGCTCCAAGCCCCGGCCAACCCGGCCTTGGACACTTCCAGAGATGGAGCAGCCACAGCTTCTCTGGGCAAATGACAGAACCTCAACTACTGTGTGCTTTCCCAAAGGATTTCAAGCCTCCAGCAGAAGGGGAGGGAAGCAGAGAGCTCTGTCAGGGAGGGCAGAAGTGGCAGCTGTGACGCCCCGAGGCAGTCGGGGCACAGCACACCGGGCGTGGGCAGCACAGAGACCTGCAGCACAACTGAGAAATGGCATCTTTCACCACAGCCTCACGACTGCCACACCCAAATGGACTGAAAAACAAGACTTACAAGCTTATTTTTCACTCCTCTGGAAATATAGGGAATGTCTTCTAAGGAAAGAGTCAGGTATTTTTGGTGTTATTTTTCTGGAGGACATCAAAGGACACATGTCCTATCCAGAAGTGGTGAAACAGACACAATTAATTAGATTAATCCTTAAAATAGTTTGAAATAAAACCTGTCCCCTATATTTTGCCTCCCTTCCCTTCGGTATCCCTGGTTTGTCCAGGAATACTGGCCAAACCAGTGCTCCCTTCACCACCTCTCATGCCTCCTTGCTTAACTCAGGTTGTTAAGGAAACATTGTCAGGTGAGATGAGGTTTTGCTTTAGATTTGGAAAAGGATGTTAATTCTTTTCCCCTAAGACCCACAGACATATTCCCAGGAAAAAGGAAATAAATTATGTAAATAGAGGGGGTCTGAAAGGCAAAACAACAGATTGAATGTGTCAGGAATGTACATACACATATGCTCAGACATTACTTAAAATAATATAAATATAGCTAGTGATAACATTCTGGTTATATCACAGTACCAGAACCTTGTAAGTGAAGTTGCCAATAGCTGAATACTCTAAAAACTGAAATTGAGCTCCATTTTTGAAAGAAAAAATAAAAAAAATAAAAGAATAAGTACTTGAAGGGGGTTTTCAGTATTTATATCAGTAATATCGGAGAGGTACGTTTTTAAAGTTGATTTTTTAATTGTTCTTTTCCCTCAAGAGATGTCAGAGGTGTTTGAGTGTATCCCTACAAGAGACTTCCAGTATCTCTGCACAGCTGACCTTAAGGCTTTGTCCATCCATTAGACATTTGGAAGAGGAACTGTCAACTGACTCTCAATACAAACATTTACTTTTAACTGAGTATTTTTTTTAAAAGATAGCCACAGTCATCTGGGAAAACTTCTCATGGAACAGAAACACTTATCTTCTTTATTTTGGGAGTTTTTCCTCTTACACCTTCCCCAACTTGTTAAATTAATATCATTTTATGCACCCAACTACTCTGGCTATAGCTCAGGTCAAATCATGCCTAAGCACATCATCTGCCCTTTGGCTGCTGCAGAGAAGATTCTGATACGATTTTCAGGCTGTACAAAATATCTCGATAGCTGAAAACCAACTGATCAACTATTCTTATGTTACTGGGGCTTGTATTCCCAAATCCACGACTGGCTGTGTGTCCCACCTCATTCATTTCAACAGACTGAAATATAAAGTTCACCTCTTAAGTGTCATCACAGTCAATTTTTTTTTCACTGCTGCTCATTTTAGCAGAAAAATCCTACAATGTGCTTAGTCCCTGTTCATAAAATGCCTAAAATCTTCCAGATCCACCCATTCCTGCTGGAAACCCCCAGCCTTTTCCCTGAGATGCCACAGAGCATCAGCAAAAATGGACATCACTTAAAATGTGCAAGGTGACCAAAAAATGAAGACAGGGCCCCAGGATGAACTAATTTCATAACTTTTGTCAGAACAGCAAAGGTGAACAGTGGGATGTGGTGCAGGCGCAACCACAGGAGCCGTCCTGTGGCCACCAGCAGAGCCAGGGGGTCTGACTCTGGGTCAAACCCACACCTGAGCACTCCAAGGTCCTTCCAGGGGGCTGAGGGACAGCAGGCCAGGAGATACAGAATCATATAATCGTAAAGGTTGAAAAAGCCCTCCAAGATCATCGAGTTCAACCATCCCCCTGGCAATGCCAAGGCCACCACTGACCCATGTCCCCAAGTGCCACATCCACACGGCTTTTAAACCCCTCCAGGGATGGGGACTCCACCACTGCCCTTGGTAGCTGTGACATGGCTGGACAGCCCTTTCCATGAAGAAATTTCCCCAGTACCCAATATAAACATCTCCTGGCGCAGCTTGAGGCCGTTTCCTCTCCTCCTGTCCCTTATTCCCGGGGAGCAAAACCCGACCCCCCTGCCCCGGCTCCCCCCTCCTGTCAGGGAGTTGCAGAGCCAGAAGGTCCCCCCTGAGCCTCCTTTTCTCCAGGCTGAGCCCCCCCAGCTCCCTCAGCTGCTCCTGCTGCTCCAGCCCCTTCCCAGCTCCGTTCCCTTCCCCGCACACGCTCCAGCCCCTCAGTGTCTGTCCTGGCTCCCCCCGGTCCCCGCACAGCCCCCGGCCCGGCCGGGCCCGCCCCGCTCCGCTCCGTTCCTACCGCCCGCCCGGCGCCGCCGCTTCCGCCCGCGTTGCCCGGAGACGGGAGAGCCCCGCCGGGAGGGCCCGGCCGCCGCCGCCGCCCGCAGCCCGCGTTCCGAGGCGCTCGGGGCCCGGCTGTGCCCGCTCCCCGTGAGGGCCGTGAGGGCCGTGAGGGCTCGGCTGTGCCGGCTCCTCTCCCTGTGCCCGCTGGGAGGGCCCGGCCCGGCCCCGCCGCTCCCCGCGCTCCTCACGGCGCCTTTGCCCGGCCGGGGAGCGGCGGGGCCGCCTGGGACGGGCGATAAGGACAGTCCCTGTGCCCGTCCTCCCCTGGAGCGGGGCCAGGGGCTCGCGTGTCCCCGTGGGACCCCACTGCCCCCCATCCCAAGGCCAAGGGACTCACCTGTCCTCACCAGACCCTGTTGTCCTTCATCCTCACGGGCCGGGGGCTCGGCCGTCCTCATGGAACCCAACTGTCCCCCATTCCTACAAGCCAGAGGCTCACCTGTCTTTACAGGACCCCATTGTCCTCTGTTCCAAAAGTCCAGGGACTCTCCTGTCTTCACAGGACCCCACTGTCCCCCATGCCACAGGGCTCTCCTGTCCTCATGGGATCCTGTTTTCCCCATCCCACAGGCGACGAACTTGCCTTTCTAATGTGGGACCCTGATGTCCACCATCCCCCAAAGTCCAGGGACTCTCGCCTGTCCACACAGGACTGTGTTGTCCCAAGTCCCCAGAGGCCAGAGGTTTGTCTGTCCTCACGGGACCCCCTTGTCTTCCATCCCTAAGGGCCAGGGACTTGTCTTGCCAAGCAGGACCCCATTCACCCTCATCCCCAAAGTCCAAGGACTCACCTTTCCTCAAGAACCCAGTTGTCCCTCATCCCAAAGGCCAGGGACTTGTCCATCCCTATGGGACCCTTTTATCCCCCACTCCTACAAGCCAGGGGCTCACCTGTCCTGACAGGACCTCTTGACTCCCATCCCTCCCACCTCCACAGCCCCCTGGCCTGCCAGAGGCCCATGGGTGCAGATGGGTGCCCGGGAGCTTCCCTCATGTGTCCCACTGGTGGGTTGGGGCCAGCGAGTTTGGGAAGACTCTGGGCAATGTGAGGAGGTCCCACATGGAGCAGGTGAGGAGGTGGGGGTGAGCTAGAGAAGAGGTTTTGGGTGTTTATTTTTGTGGTTAAGTGTCACAGAATTGGAAATAAGGTGGGGGAAGCTTTGGTTTTCCGAGAGCTCAGCTCCCTGGGGAGGGACAGGCTCATCCTTGTACCTGCAGACCACACAGACAGGCCCTTCCCTATCGCTGGGTTCGCTCTGGGGCTGCCTCATTCTACAGGGAGAGGGGTCTGGGAGGGCACCATGGGGTATCCATCATCTTCAGTGCTTGTTCCAAGGCCAGGAAGGAGCAAGGCCCTCTCCAGGGATCGTTTGGGGTGAGAGGTGGTGACTGGACTCAGGTCTTGGACATCAGCAGAGGCCAGGGAGCCGTTCAGCACCATGCCCACACTGAGGGCTGCAGAGGGGAGAGGAAAACGCCCTTCCCTGTGCCACCACACCCTGCCCACCTTCCCCTGTGCCACCACACCCTGCCCACCTCTCCCTGGCCTCAGCCGATAAGGGCAGTGGCTCCGAGCCTCCTCCACATGGATAACAGGCAGCCCAGCCCGGCAGCCCCAGCCCCGGGTCAGGGGCAGTGTGAGCAGTTCCACTTTCCCATGTGGAATTTACTCTGTGCAGTGGTTGTTGCTTCCCTGTAGAGGTCAGGAATGCAGCACAGAAGGAGTTCCCTTCATTCTACCCTTCTCCTGAAGTCTGCCACAGATCCAGAGTGCCATTCTGTGATTCCAAAACTTCTCCTAATATCCTGGGGATGAGTTAGTACAGACCAGTTATCTCAGCCATGCCAGGCTGGACAGGGCTTGGAGCAACCTGGTCTAGTGGAAGGTGTCCCTGCCCGTGGCAGGGGGAAGAATGAGATGGGCTTTAAGGTATCTCCCAAACCAAACCATTCCATGATTCTCTAATAGGCCATGGCTGCCAACTCTGGCCTTACCACCCTGGTCATACTCTGGCATCAGGAAGGTGGAACCATGGCACATCAAAACAGTGTGTGGGGAAGAAAAATATTCATATTAGCTTTGCAAAAACACACAAGGATTCGAGGGTGTGGTGGTAAATTTGCCAAGGCACCAACTCGTGGCCAGTTCTGAGTAGCTTGGTCATTCTTTGGCTATTCTGGTGCTGGTTTAGCTACTCCAGAGTTGGTCTAGTCCTTGCTTCTGCCATCTAGAGAAGTTAGGGGCCATCAGAAGGTCAGGTCTGGGGCAATGCTCTGCATCCTTGGAAGCGTTCAAGGCCAGGTTGGATGGAACTTGGAGTAACCTGGTCTAGTGGAAGGTGTCCCTTCCCATGTCAGAGGGATTGGAACGAGATGAGCTTTAAGACCTCTTCCAACTCAAAACATTCCATGATTCTATGATATGATTCTGTGTGAATGAGATGGAGCTCACAGCCACCACCAGACCCACAGCTCAGCGGGGCTGCAGTGGAGCCATCCTCCCTCCCCTCCCGGGTGTTCGGTTGGGGTGACCACACGGTGCCCCAGGGTTGGTGGGATTGTAAGGGGGTCTCACGCAGTACTTAAAGACTTTGACACAGTTCTCCCCCGCGTCTGCCACCAAGAGGTGCCCGAAGGAGGAGCAAGCCATGCCCACAGGCCTCCGCAGCCCCGTGGACACCAGGCACACAGGAGCCCCGTGCTGTGGGAACAGGTGGACTGTCCGGCGCTGCTCGTCTGCCACCAGGATGCTGCCATCCCTATCCACACACACCCCAGCGGGGTTGCCAAACTGGTGTCCGTATTTGCTGCTGAGGGAGCAGAGCAGCTTGTGGCTGCTCGTGAAGACCTTGACATCCCCACACTCCTCGCTCACCACAAAGCCCCCGCTGGGCGCTGGGCTGACGTAGCGAGGCCCCTGCAGGTCAGGGACGGAGTGGACGTTGAGTGTCCTGAAGGCGTGGTCCAGAGCAAAGCTGTGCACTTGGCCTTGGGCATAGTCTACCACCAAGATCTTGCCCATGGAGTCGACTCCAATGCCCCTGGGGGAGCCAACCTTTCTGATCTTTATCCATTCCCTCTTGGAGAGGCTGGTGTGAGGGTTGAAGGCCCAGATGGCTTCATTCACCATGTCGGCCACAGCCACCATTCCCGTCCGAGTCACAGTCACATCTTCTGGCAAGAAAGTGCCCTTCTCCTTTTGCTGGCAGGGCAGGGCCTGCAGTGTGTGGCCTGTGCTGGACAGGATGTGGACCCAGGGAGCATTCTCGGCTGTCAGGTAGATGGAGCCATCTAGGGAGCAGTGGATTCCACGGACACCCCCATATTGGCTGCCGGTGGGGTTGGGGATCTGCCGGACCAGGTTGTCCTGGCAATAATGGAGGAGGTTCTTGATGTTGTCCAGATCTCCACACAGACTTTTGGCCTTATCTGCCAGCTGGTGGACTTGGTGCTGTGTCACCATGCCCACGCCAGGCTGGCTGCTCAGCAGTGGGCTGGCTGTCTGGAGAGTGGTAAATGACTTCAGCTGGAGGCTGTAGATGGTTTTCAGCAGCTTCTCCTTTAGCTGGCTGGTCTCCAGTGTGTAGTCCATGACAAATCTCGTCCCTATTTGGGGGAAGCAGTAGGACCATGACTGTCCCTGCCTGCTGCCATCCCTGGGGATACATTGAGGTGTTTGCTGCCTACCCAGGGTCAAGGTGTAGGCACTGGTCTGGATTAACTTCAGTGCTAGAGAGACCACATCACTGTAGTGCCAGCTAAATATGTGCTCAGGACATAAAGACAAACAAGGACATTGGCATGAAAATGAAAGAGCCACCAAGCTGGATCTGCAGCTGGAGGAACAGCCAGAAAGGTCCACTGGCTCCAACGACAGCTCAGCTGGTGTCAGATGTGGCCTGAGGATTTCTGTGTAAAGGTGAGCCATGTGTGAGCACACTGAATGGCATCTCCACCTCTGTGGTTCCTCAGATTAATAGCTTCCCTCAGGCCTTTAACACCTCTTAACCCTATTTTCTGTGAGCCTCATCTCTCCAAACCATGCTCAGTCTGTGATAACACTCAGGACGCTGAGGATGAGTATTCCTTAACTCCCATGTGGGTCAGATGTTACATGTGGCCAGCACATCTCTTTGCTAAGGGCACTCTCTCCTCATCCAAATAGATTCACAGATCCACAGAATATTCTGAATTGGAAGGGACTCACATGGATCATCAAATCCATCTCCTAGCCCTGCACACACAGGGCTGGGAGACCAGCTCTGTTTTGTGTTCCCAGGGCCTGGCTGGAGCACAGCTTGTAGCACACAGCCAGCAGCTGGCAAGGGAAATGTGGCCTCATTAAAGCTTCTGGGGAGGCAGAAGTTCACTTTGCTTCAAATGTGATTATAATTAGTATTATAATGGGCACACTTGGCTATTTTGAGTTGTTTGCAAGCCATCACTCCACTTTTATTGCCCCATGTCCCATGATTGCCTGGATCATGTGCTCTGTGCTGCCCCAAACCTCAGCTGAAGGAAGCTAAGGCATACTCTGCCAAATAATCCTTTCCATGTGCAAATCCCACAGTTATCTAAACCCCATCCCCTGAATACTTGCAGAGCTACCAAACACAAATGCACGATGGTGGGGACGAGTGTGAATACAGATGGAATCCAATTTCTGCTGGGTTTGGGGCCTGGGAACAACTGTTTCCTCCCCAAAGTGGTTGTGCTTTGTCTCCAGCAGCAGAGACCTGCTTGGTGGAAAGGAGCCCTCCGTCCCCACCCAGAACTGCATGTCGGGGTCCTCCTTCAGAGCTGGACAGAGTCCAAAATCCAAACCACTGCATGGTACTGATGGGGAAACTGAGCCACCACCAGGGAGCTGCTATGCCAGACACCACACCCCCCTCACCTGGAGCATCCACATCCCCTCCCGGGTGCTGGGCACCCAAAGCTGCCCTCAGACCCTGGATGGTGTGTCCTGAGCCAAGCCTGAGCTGCTCATTCAGGGGTCCACGCCCGGGAAGAGGTCTCTGACCTGTCCCCCGCACAACTCAGGACGATGACCACGAGCCCAGCTCAACAGACCTTGTACCTCCGTCCTGCTGTCTGGGGGGCTGCCTGTCCTTCCCTGGCAGTGCTGCCCTCCCACCGGCTCCGTCCTGCTCCTCCCACGGGCTCTGTCCTGCTGCCTCCGGAGCGGGAGCCGTCCTGCCGGGCTCCCGACACTCGGGGATATTGTGTTGTTAGTGACGGGCGATTGCCCTCGGGTCTGGGTAAACACAAGAACTGCCGGTGCTGACAACCAGAAGCAGCGAGACAAGGGCTGATCCACGCAGTTTTTTTATTCCCTGCTGGTGTCCTGCCAGAGACAAGGTGCCTTTCCCACAGGATCGGTCTGTGCTCCGAGGTGCCCAGCTGCAGGGGTGATTTGGGGCTTTTAAGGGGAGGCAGAGGGGCTGATTTGCTGCACCTCACCCTTGGCAGCTTCTGGGGTGGGACAGGGACGCCCTCACTGTGAATCAGGGCTCCTGCCTGGTCTCATGGCTGCAGCGCTACCTCCCCCTGTGCTCCAGCCTGGGCCCTGTGCGGGTCTGTGCCTCAGTCTCCCCACTTGCAAAAAGGAGATTGGGGGATTTTGCCACGTCAGGCTTTGAGGTGCAGTGATGGAGGAGCTCTAGGAAGAGGCAGGTCAGCCAGGAATCCTAGCACAGCCCCCCTCTCCATCTCCACGCTGCTCAAACCAGGCACCCCCCGCCGGGCAAATCTGTGTTTGGAGTTGATGGTCGCGTTTATCAGTTCAGCTCCAACAAAGAGGGGCAGCACTAAAAGCAGAGTTAGCCAAGAGTAGCCTGCAAGGGGCTGCTCAGAACCTGCTCTCCCTCCCTGGCAGTGCTTCCTGTCTGTGCTCCATCCCGTGCTTTGCCGGCAGTGAGCTCAAACCACCCACCTTAAACCTGGCCAAGGTGTGAGGAAGTTTGTGTCTATCCAGTACTCAGATGGGCCAAAGGTAAGTAATTTTTTTTGTAATGGCCAGTCTTCGCGAACGAAGAACTGAGGAAGGTCTTTCCACCTTCCAGCCTGCGCATTGGATTTTTTAGGTGAGACACAGTGTGCGCGGAACTGAGCCCACCCTTTAATCCTGAGGTTCATCTGCCAGGGCCAAGCACGCTTGGACGGTGGCAGCGAGGTCCTCAGGATGTAGATGGATTGCCTTACAGGGCTAACGAGCTCCATCTGCCCGGGGAGTGGCCCCGACAGGGAACCGAACCCGGGTCTCGGCGTTGACAGCGCCGCGCCTTAACCACTTGACCACCAGGAGCTCCAAAAAAGTGAGGTTTGGATCAAACTCAGCCACCTTTGGGATGTTTGGAGGGGCTGCAAGTGCCTGGCCTTTGGGGCTCAGGAAGCAGGTTGGGATGGCACTGCAGGAGCTGTGGAATGGGGATCTCCCTCCAAAGCCCCGGGACTGGGTGCTCCTCTTTCCATGTGTTTAGGGCCCTTCTGGTCCTTTATCAGATCCCAAAGCTCACAGTGCCTGGGAAGCTGCTTCAGACCTATTACCAGCCAAAATTACAAAAATAACTTGACATGACAAGCACCGCGGCCGCTCCATCAGAGCCCCAGCAGGACGGGAGGCATCTTCAAAAACCATCTCCCAGGGCAACAGGGTCTGACCTTTTGTTTCGCTGTTGTGAGCTCCATCACCAGGATAAACAAACACAGCCTGGCCCTGGGGCTCCCGTTCACCTTTGCAGGACCGTGGCTCTGTCACAACCTGTTCAGAAGCCATGCCTGGACCCCCGGAGATGCCTGTGTCACGGCAGGGCCTGGCACAGCCATGCCCACGCCAGCACAGGGTTCAAGGATAAGGGCATGGTCAGCCCACTGGTTCTGGAGAGGGACCAAGGGGAAGAGAGTTTGGGTTGAGTTCAGGCTTTCCTGGAGCGCATTCCTTGCAGGTATAAGTGATGAACTTCTCCCCTCGCAGCTTTTCCCACCCTGACCCAGGGACAGCAGCTCTTGGTTGAGCGTGCACAAGCCCTGGGTCTCTGCCAGTCTCTGTGCCCAGGGATGCTTGGTGCCCACCTGGCACTGTGCACGTGTGTGGGGAGCCAGTGGGAGATCCCACCGGAGCAGCTGATGTCATTGCTACCAAGTCACAGACCTGAGGGGAAAAAACAAAGCCACTGGGAATATTTCCCCATCTAGAGCACAGCTCCTTGGCTGGGGAGAGGACTGGGGGGACACAGAAGGCCACAGTGTCAGTGCAGTGTGAATTGTCACGGTGCAGTGAAACCCTCCTGTGTCTCAGATCTGTGCTGGATGCTGGAGCACTCTAGCCCTGAGTCCCAGCAGTCCCCAGCCTGCTCAGGTCACAGAATGATATGATGAGTTGGAAGGGACCCACG